AATTTGAATGTATTTATAATTCAACATAATATTCTAACTTATTTTATTTTCAGGTATATTTGCCCAAATAATATATTCATTGAGCCTGTACAAAACACGAATATAATACTGAATATCGATCGAATTGACTTCACCTCTCAAAAACAAAGTAGATAATTTATGGATTCATTTCATATACATTTKTTAATTTTTTGAGCTACAGAATTTAGTTATTGTATCCAATAGTTCATTAAAATATCTTATTATTTAACCTGGCTTAACTATTTTTCAGCAAACAATGGTCAAATACCATCAGAAAGTAAAAGCCAACCAATTGCTGGAATATTGGGAGTTGTAAAACTTTTAATTGGCCCATATATTATCATAATAAAAAAAAAAAAGTTTGTTGGTAAAATAAATGGTCATGATATATGGCAATTGGTAGACATTGATATTTTACCTATACCTAAGACTAAGCTTCATTTAAATGAAACACAAGTACTTACACATTTTATATTTTTATAGTTAAAACTGTATTTATATATTTTTATAAAAATATTTTTATGTTAAATAGGAACGAATGGATATTGAATATTTAAACATGATCAAGCAAACCTTTAATACTCCATATTATTATTTTTCATATACATATGATTTAACTCACACAATGCAGAGGCTGTATAACACTTCTACATCATTTGTAAACGTAAGCTTAAAAAATATACAGCAAATAAATKATTGAAAGTTGTATTATAATGATTACAGAGGCATCTAGACAATATTTTTTGTAATGTAGCAAAGTTTGAAATGTTTATCTATTACTAACCTTTGGGAATACACAATTAAAAATTAATTTCTGGTAAACCTTATATTATATGTTTTACTTATACAACTTATTTCTCAAGTGTCCTATTTTATCCAACTAGTTATGTGACTAGTTTTATTGAGCCACATTCAAATTAAACGTGATGACAGCTTAATGAACACACCGCCAATGCTTTATTTTCAAAGTTTGGTGAAGTAGAAGTGAGTTATATTGTGGGATATGTGATAATTGTACTAAGATTTACATGAGTTTTATATTTATACACTTACATGTAAAATCTTAATATAAGAAATTTAAAGTAACAGTTTAAATTATGTAGTTGAAACTCAGTACTAGCGAATAATGTGATATTAATAATTGTGTGATAGATGTAATGTTGCTAAAATAATGAATACAACATTTACTTTTCCATCACAGGCTGGAATACATACTTAAAATTGTATTATAAATACAAACACGGTTTTATTTTTAATTTTGCTGTCTCTGTATGAATTTTGGTTTAACCTTAGATGCTAAATCACAATGATTAAAATGTTTACATATTTTTCTTCTTATTTTAGATTCCAATGTATGAAAGGGCGGATCAGCGATTTCTGTGGAACCATTATTTATTGAAGAATTTTTGTATGGAGCATCATGAGTTTTGTGTTTCCATCATTCATGGATGTAAGTTGATATATATAAGTTATGTCTTCACCTATTTTTTGTATAATGTTGTAATTTAGTCTGTATTGAATATTGACTATCAGCTATATACTGGGGGGAGTAGGTTTTTTGAGATTTACTGATTTGTTATACTATCAGATTGTTACTAATACAAATACATTTTACAAATAAACAGAAAAAAAATAAGTATTCAATTTTTTAAGTAAGCAAGAAAGTTGTTGGCTATATAATTTTCTTTTAATTATACACAGATTTAAAAACTTATTTCACAACTTTTCAAAGTAGACCCAGTAAAATTACTCTGTGGTCTGTTACTACAAAACTTTGAGTAAAGTTGTACAAAATATAATTGGGTGCAAATTAATAAGTTTAAAAATAATATGAAAATATATATAATCAGTGTTGATTTTAAAGGATTTTTTTTTATTTTAACCAATAATTGTATTTATAACTTTATGGAAATTATTTTTGATTTCAGTTATTGCGATAAATGATTGTATCTTAAATGGAAAAAGTTTTGTCTGGACAGTAGTATCTAGACGATCAAGAAATCGCCATGGTCCAAGATTATTAAAACGTGGTATTGATCAGAATGGAAATGTTGCCAATTTTGTTGAGACAGAAATGATAGTAGAATATAATAACACTAAGAGTTCTTATGTGCAGGTATATTAATTCTTATTACTTTGATAATCATTTATCAGTTTTTATTAAAGTTGCTTCTTTAGACACGTGGATCAATTCCTTTGTATTGGGTTCAATATCCAACACTTAAATATAAACCCGTAATGCAGATAGCTCAAAATGAAAATCATTTAGAAGCAGCTACAATTCACTTTAATGAGCAGATTTCTGTTTATGGTCAACAAATTTTGATTAACTTGGTAATTAAAATGGTTTTTGTGTATTTAATTTAAATTTATACTAATACATCATAATAAAAATAAAAGATTGATCATAGAGGAGCAGAGCAAGAATTGGAACGCAGTTATCATGATATTGTTGGTATGTTGGACAATAAAAAAATTAAATATGAAGCATTTGATTTTCATAGTGAGTGTAAAAAAATGAGATGGGATAGACTTTCAATTTTAGTCAATAGAGTAGCTCACGAGCAAGATAATTTAAAATACTTTCTTCTTGGATCTGACGGAAAATTGCTGATGTTACAAAAAGGAGTATTTAGAACAAACTGTGTGGATTGTTTGGATCGAACTAATGTTGTTCAAAGTTTATTAGGTCGTAGAATGTTGACTGTTATGTTGCAGGTAAAATTGTTTAATCTTATTAAATATTTAGATATAAAATTACAAATAAAATATTTTATAATTATTTAAGAAAATGGACATATTAAACTTTGGACAAAAAGTTGAAGATCAATCAGATTTTGAATKTTTATTCAAATCAATATGGGCTGACCATGCTGATATAATATCAATTCAATACTCTGGAACTGGAGCTTTAAAAACTGATTTTACGCGAACTGGTAAACGAACTTACAATGGAATGTTCAGAGATTTAAAAAATTCACTTTTACGATATTACAAAAACAATCTTAGAGATGGAGTTCGCCAAGTTAGTAGAATATTAATATTGTTTAATGTTATTTTTGAATCATAATAAAATACATTTTCTTTTATGTTATTCATACTTCATAGGATAGTATTGATCTTGTTTTGGGAAATTATGTTGTAAATGCCGAAGAATGTGCATCTTTGTCATGCCCTTTAGAAGTCAAACCAGCTCTTAAATATTTTATGGTAAGTTATAATTTAATGTTATTTGTTATGGAATGAATTGTCATGATGTTACTGCAAGTGTTGGGTAATGACTTCAGGGAATTTGGTACTATTATTTTTCGTCTTTGTGTAATGTACGCGAGATAAAGGATTATAGACGTGTTCTGTTAATCTGTTCTTTGCCTAATTCCTAACACTAATTGATTTAATGAAGCTATAATAATTTAAAAAACAGATTTGAATAGGTTGTCAAGATTACTTAAGATTCACTTTTCCACATTATTCATATTATCTCCCAAATTCCTATTAATGCAATACTATAAAAATTGTCATTTTTTCTTTTGGAGAAGTTATAATAAAAAAATAAAAATGTGGAAAAAGTGTTCTCAAGTAGGTTTGATGTCAAATTTAAATCTGTTGTCAAAATTTGTATCATTCACTGGGTATAAAGGTTGGTATTGGTATGTTTGGCAAAAACTATGGCTAAAACCCTGTCACGCATGTGTTAAACAAAGACAGATTATCATGGTACCGAATCCCCTTTATACAAATTACTTTAATGAAACCGCTGTTTAGTAATGCAGTAGCAAATAGTGATATTTCATTTTATTTCAATTAATGTAACATTATTTTTAAAATTAACATAATGAAATTTGTGTTACTCGGTTTGAATGTTGTGACAATAGTTTTAATATTAGAGTGAAAATTAGACTTGATAATAAAACACTATTTATTTTGTTTTCATAATGGTTTTTTTTTTTGTAGTTATAATTTTAAAGCAATTGATTATAATCATCTGTTAATAATTGTAGCATTTTACAAACTCATCTAGCATAAAAATTACAAAATTGAAATAACCACAACAATAAAACAGTTAAAATTCTTATCTTTAAGTTTGATAATAGGTAAATTTACTCTAGTAATAAAATWATCAACACATAATTGGAACTACTAACACAAATGTCCTATTATACATTTATAATGTTTGTATGAGATGAAGATTACACACAACCCTTTTAAAATGCAATGGAAATATTAAAGTTTAATATAATAATAATAATATCCCATTAGAGAATTTGTTGGAGAACTTTAGTTAACTATTGATTCGTTATGTTTGGAATATTAGTTTTATTAAAGTATTTAAATTTAAAACTCCTACATTGCCAACAATATAACATTTCACGCTATTTCAACAGACTGTCTCACGTTCATTAACAATATTCCAGAAACAATTTTGATCTTATAGGATTACAAACCTATTATAGAAGATAATTTTAATATTATAATACAGGTTATACTAAGTACTTATTTATATTATTTTATTTTTTAGTATCCAATAATTTTAATGATTGCACTTGCAATGTTCATGGCTAATGCGGTGTTTACTTCTGGTAAGTATTAAATATTTAAACTGTTAATCATAAAGTTAATATAATATCTTATATCTGTTTGTTAGAATACAACACTGGAACTTATATATTCCTTCTATTTTGGGGCACAATGGTTATGTGTGTATTGTCATTGATATTTTATTATGGAAAAGAGTTTGTTAACTATCCACGGCTATCAAGTTTTGACAATGGAAAAAGACTTCATCATCATCAGTCTTAGTGCATTCTTTCTCAATTTTATTATAATCGTATGTTACTTTTTAGGATATATAAACTGTTATGAAACTTTTGTGTGGAAAATAAATTTTATGATTTATTATCTTAAATATTATTATAAAAATGTATTGATTATTTTTAGTAATAAACATTTACTGCATTAGTGACATAGTACATTAAAATTATTGTGCTTAAATAATAACTTATTCTAGTTTTCAATTTATAAAATAATGTTAAAATGAATTTAAAAACTGAATATTTAACTTCCAAAGTCTGTGACTTTGTAATGATTCTCATCAATGGTTGAGAAAATATGTCCCTCTTCAATGAAAAATGAAAGAATTTTTTCTATTTCTGGTAATGGAATTTTCTCTGGAAGTATCTTTTGAATATCTAATGCTGAATAACCTGCCTCATCCTGGCACCTCTTTATTACTGTATAAACTTTTAACTGTTTTGGGTTCAGTGATAAATTGTTGGTTGTATCCATAAATCCATTAGCATTATCACCACTGATTAAAAAGTCCTTTTGATTTGTTGCAATAGACTGCTGTGTACCGCTAGTCTAAAAATCAAATAAAAATAAATAACATTTTTTTGTTTTTTACATAAGTTAGATAATTATTCTWACCATATTGATTTCCTCGGTTATTAACGGTAACGCAATAATACTTAATAAATGATGCGTTAATTCATTTAGACTTTCTAAAGGTCTTACACTGTGACAAAGCAAAGTGACCTTGTCATTTTGAATTCTTTTACTACCAACTACTTTAAAATATGCATTTTCAATTAACTTTGGATATCTTGATAATTCGTTCTCATCGCCCCATTGAATGCATAACAAGCGACCAGTATTATCTTCAATTGTAAACATATTCTTTAACGTTTGTGTTTCAACCTGTAAAACACAAAAAAAAAAATTATAATGTTACATTATTTTTAAGTAGATGTTTTATCATAAAATTAATAATGGTTTTACCTGTTTGATAATTCCAACAACTACAACATGTGTATTTTTGTTTTCCTCGTTACTATCAAACAATTCACGAATAGCTACAGTAATTACAGTATTTTGTTTTGGTTCAGCTCCAGATGCTGTTGCTGGACTTTGTGTCATTGTGACATTAAAGCCACCTTCATCATCACCCCACATTTTTAAGTCTGAAAACATTTTATAATTAAGTTATCAGTAAAATACAGCAATTATTTTTATAAAAGAATAATTTACAATAAATTACTATATTATTAAACTAGACATTTAGAAAATATTATAACAGTAAGCTTCGTATTAATCGGTACTCAGTGACAAGAATAGAATCAATCAATCACATAGTTGCTAACAAGGCACCCACAAGTGGCGTGGATCAGAAGGACCCRTGGTACTGGGGCTCGGGGTTCATACAAATAAGTAATTTAATATATTATATTGGAAAAATGTTTAAAAACTAATTGTTATTTGAGAGGGGACTGGATCTAATTCTGTACTAGAGTTAAAAACATTATTTGGGGGCCGGTTACTGATTTGTTTTTCAACAGAAATAGTGTGGATTAACATTCGTACGCTAACATAAGCTTTATTCACGTCTCAAACTACATATCATGTCAATAATTCCTTACCTGTCGGAARAGAAAACTGTGATCGAGGTTAGTATAGTACACGTGTTGTGTACCACTATATGGTGATCAGTGWTCGGCGATCGCTGAGTTTATGCCGTTTATGGTTTAAACTTAATATTACTTATAAATTTATAATCACATAAATGCGTAATCGTATTGAACTAGTGAATAATGAATAATATCTCGGGAACCAAAGAATGTCCAGCGCATCATGTCGTTATGGCGGCAAAAGGAGAAACTTGATAATGGACGGAATTGTTCTGTGGTTTAAACCATAGACCCGCAAACTAGTTTACAGGTCTATGGTTTAAACCTCCTGCCCCTCCCGGATACAGCAGAGTCTACCCGTTCACGATTGGTTTGTTACGTTAGATTACCACACGATTAACCACGTTACCGTATTATTAGACTTTACTACTTTAGAGGAAACCCGCTTTTACAAGCATGATTATTGATGTAAATAAAATAGTGTATTGAATATTCCAAAGTAATAAGAATTCTCAATAGTAAATAGTAATTAGTAATTCTTATTACTCTGTGCCTTGTGGTATATTCTATTCGTATAATTTGYATATATAACTTTAATAGTTTCATCGTGCTTGCGCATTTCGAGAGAGTCGTTACTCGTAAGTGAGCACTCCGTTTGCGTACTGAGCAGCTTAGGAAGGTGGAAGGACCAGTAATATAAAATATTACCCTATATATAGAGAAAAGCGGATACTGGACACTGGTGAGTGGAAAAGCTCGGTTCCGTTACCAGTGTCATGGCCCATGGGTATGGTGGCGGAATGTTAAGGCAGGCTTGATAGTTGTAGACTGTTGTTAGGAACAATTTTGAAGTATATGATGTCCGTAACGTTGCGTTGTCGGAAACGAATAACAAAAACATGAAAAATAATTCCCGGTAAAAAAAAAATAAAATTTATGTGCGAAGGGTGAGAACTTCAAGTATAATAAATAATTAATTAAATGTTTTTTCGCCTTTCAGTTTTTAACTTTGTAATAAGTCACAAAATACAATATGCCATTTAGATTGTTAACTATGGATGAATTTAGTATAAAGAAAAAATTGTAAACGAAACCCTCCAACGTATATAATGATTATTCTGAAACCATCATGGATATCTCACAATGGTATGCCTATATTTTCGATCGACATTCATCCAGATGGTACTCGTCTGGCCACCGGTGGTCAGGGCCGGGATTCCGGACTGGTAATGTTGTGGAACACAGCCGCGGTGCTGGACGAAAACAGCGAAAACGACGAGAACGTACCAAAAATGTTATGCCAAGTGAGTGGTTGTTTTCTAGTGAACAAGGGAGAGGGGGTTCAAAATGTTTTGAAGTCAGTAATCAAATTAATAATGATTGGAAAAGCTATTATAGTTTAATTATTTTAGGTTGACAGCCATTTAGCAAGTGTCAATTGTGTTCGTTGGAGTCACTCGGGAAAATTTTTGGCATCTGGCGGCGATGATAAAATCATTATGGTGTGGACATTGAGCAAATATCCAAACAGTGGAAACATTGTGTTYGGCACCAAAAATATTGTTAATATTGAAACGTGGAAATGTATGTTCACTTTACGCTCACACTCAGGTGATATACTTGATCTTGCGTGGTCACCACATGACTCATATTTGGCATCATGTTCAGTGGACAATACAATAATCATATGGGATGCTCAAAAATTTCCATCTGTCCATAAAGTTCTTTCTGGACATACTGGTCTGGTAAAAGGGGTTTCTTGGGATCCAATCGGTAAATATATTTCATCACAGTCGGATGATAGAACTTTAAGAATATGGAGAACATCTGATTGGAAAACAGATACTATTGTTACGACTCCCTTTAAGGACTGTGGTGGAAATACATCTGTACTGCGGCATAGYTGGTCTCCAGATGGGCAATATTTAGTATCGGCTCATGCTATGAACAACAACGGCCCTGTAGCTAAAGTTATTGAAAGAGATGGTTGGACATATGAGAAAGATTATGTAGGACATAGAAAAGCTGTAAATTGTGTGAGATTTAGTAATTCAATAATGGAGCGTAAAGTTGGCAAGAAAAATCATCATATGTGTTTATGTGCTGTAGGCTCTAGGGATACAAATGTATCAGTATGGCAAACAGGATTAAAAAGACCAGTAGTAGTTCTTGAAAGTTTATTTCAAGGTCCTGTGTTAGATYTATCTTGGTCAACAAATGGACTGAACTTGTATGCTTGTTCATATGATGGAACTATAGCAATATTAATATTTGATCCAAAAGATATTGGAAAAGCACTTAGTAATCAAGATAAAAATATAATTTTTGAAAAAATGTATGGTATTTCGCCTTCAGAACGCCACAATAACAATTTATTGATAGAAAATCCAGCAATACTAAAAATGAATGGTACACAACAGTCAGAAATCCAAGAGGTTGGTCCTAAAAAAGAAATCAAACAGGCTTCTCCAAATGTAATTAAACCTTCACCACCAATTTTGAAAAAACAAATTGAAACTCGCACATCTGATGGACGCAGACGTATTACACCTATTTTTATACCACCAACACCTGATAATGCAGAAGAAATAAATGTTTTACCGTTTTCATCATCTAGTGAATGTAAAAGTCAAGTAGTTGTTGAAAGAGTGAATAATATTATTGAGCCTAATATAAGCAACAGTTGTAGTAACTTTAGCCAAGAATCTCAAACTCCAACAATTATCGATTCAACAATACCAAGAAGCACTCCTACATCTGTTTTACAAATATCTCCTAGTAGGGGAGAATCAAAGAAAAGGCCAGAACCTGTAGCATTAGTATCAAATTTATTTTCAACTAAAAAAATTAAATTCAATAATTTGGAAGATAATGAAATTTCATCAGATGCCCGACCTAATTTTGGTCAAATTACAATGCAAAAAAGAAAGTTCACTATTTCAAACTCATGTACCGATAGGATTGTTGTAGAAAACGATAAATGTAATACTATAAATGGGCCTATTTCTAAAATGAAAGTCTATAGTAATAATTTAATTGCTTGGGAAAAAGTATTTAGCTCAAGTGTAGTAAAATATTGTACTAATAAAACTCTATCATTAATAGTTGTGGCATTGAGTGATTGCACTGTYCATATAATAGGGTCAAAAAACGGTTCATTAATATGTCCTCCCTATGTACTATCGTCTGTAGTAACCTCTATTAGTTCTAATAATCACTATTTGCTATGCATGACCCAAAATTCTCTTTCTGTTTGGAACATATATAAACAGGAATGTGTCCTACACGAAGAAAAACTTAACACATTGGTTTGTTCAAATAAAAATAAGCCAGTAAATGTACAAAAATGTATGTTGACTGAAAATGGAACATCAATAATCACATTAACTACTGGTAAATCATATATGTTTTCTATAAGTGCAAAATGTTGGATGATGATTGGTGATAGTGGAGATGCTATATATTCAAATTCTTCTCAAAAAAATAAACACAATGGCTTAAATAAAACTAGTGGAAAGTATCCACTGAGTGTCATGCAAACATATTCTTCAAGGTATAAATCAAACTTAGATTTTAAGGACACTGAAGGGATAAGCGAATTATGTTCTAAATCATTTTTGGAACAACAGATGTCAGCATCTTTAGCTTTGGAGTCAGATAAAGAATACAAATATTGGTTAATGGCTTATGTTTCATATTTAATTGAAAGAGAAGATAATGATCGACTAAGACATTTATGTCAGGATTTATTGGGTGTTTCACATGGTTATTCAAGTCATAAAAAAGTTGAAACAATAATTGGTATATCAAAACATGAACTTTTAAGAGATGTGTTAGGCATTATAGCTGGTTCAAGAAGTACTCAAAGATTATTCACTGAGTTTCATGACCAATTACAGCAAATGTCTGAATTAAACGACTGATTAATTATTAATTTTGTAAAATTTAAATTATATACACAAAAATGTTTTAAATAGTTTACTTAATTATGTAATAATATGAAAATTGAAATTAGATAATATTCATGTTGTATTTTACAATTAAAAAAAATTTATTTAAATTTACTTATTTAAAAATGAATAACAGTAACTGTTAGTTGTAATTTAATTCTTTATATCATACAGTATTTTTTAGAAATGTTACCAAAATCCATGTTTTGTCTAAAATTTTTTTTTATGAACTCAGAAAATATATTTCTTGAACTACAAGAAAGTTCTAATTMTTCAGTTCAAATCAATCATTACAACAATTGGACTACTTTGTCGTAAATTTAGTACTAATAATTTTAATTATTACAAATCATATTTGATTTTTTCTATTAATGTATACTATGTTATAAAATAATAATTGTTGTATATAGAAAAAAAATTGTAAATTTAATTTAAAATTATAATGCATATATTAGGTATCCTATCAAAATATTTTGTATTTAAATTATAAATTTAAAAWTTTTTTAATTGTAATTAAAAATATGTGCACACTTAAATAAATCATATTAGTTTTTTATTTCTAAATAAAAACCTATTACTTTGTCAGTTTTTAAAATTAAAACATTTAATATAAAGTGAATTAGATTTATTTTAAATTCTCMATTCATAAATATACAAAGAGAATGTTTGTTTGGATATCAATGCAACAAATATAGTATAAATAACTTCACAATTAGGTAAATTAACAATAAAATATACAATAAATAWGTATTTGTAGAGTAAACAAAAATAATAGCAAAAAATCATAGTTAGTACAAGTTTAAAATATTTATTAGACCTATTGAACAATTAATCATCCCAATCACCTTCTGTGTCGTCATCACCATCTGCTTCACTTTCAGATTCAAGGTTTGGAGGTAACATTGTTGAAGCCATACGGTATATCACCCCTTCTAAGCCGCTATCATTTTGCTTATTATTACCAGAAATCCCTTGCCTTCGCATAGCTAACTTTTTATGCAAATCTGCCATTAATCCATCTCCACTAGGTACTKTTTCATCGTTTGTTTTCCTATCAACTACAGAGCGTAATTTAGCTTTTTGTAATCCTCCTGCATTTCTTATTTCGTCCATTAGAACACTGTGCGTATTAATGTTATCATTATACATTTTATTAACATTTTGATCTGTTTTAATGGGATTATCAATGTCTTTAACATCATCAACTTTATTTTGAGWACAAACAACAGTTGACAATTCTTCAGGTTCAGCCGGTTTTATGATCTGGATCTCAGTTTGCATCAAATTATCAGGAACTTTTTCACTGTTTTGAATATYGTCTAACTCATCAAAACTTGGAAGATTCACTACACTGGAAGGATTACAAACAACTGGCGTGCTATTGTTTTCTTCTTCATTTTTGAAACATAATACATCACCTGCTATTCCTGGAAGATCGGGTAAATCGGCAGGCACATCAATAGAAGGTACTTCTTCATATTCTGGTGTATAAGAATAATTAAACTGATTTTCAGTGTCATTTATTGGTAGCGTAAACACTGGTTTATTAATATTTTCAACTTCTTCGACTTGTTTACTCGTTTGTGTAATTTTAACTTTATAGGGRTTGGATAAAACATAATTTTTGTATAAATTTTCATTTGAATTAAATAATAGTAAAGAATTAATATAATTAACATCATCAGGCAATCCCCCAAGACCTTTCATTTGAACAATATCTTTATTTTTTGATAACTTTTTATCAACATCATCAACATGGTAAAATTTAAGTTTATCAGTTGGATCATTTGACACACATATTTGATGAGCAACTTGGATATTGTCTGTAATATCAGATTTTATTTCAAAATCATAATTATATTCATAATCTTTTTGTAAATGTGTAGCAGGATATTTTGAACTGGAATAAACTTGAATCGATTTCTTGGTGTTTGACAGTAGTTTTACTTTATTAGCTATGTTGTTCAATTTATCACTCAGTTTAACTATTTCCAATTTTTGTGAGTTTATATTACCTCTTACATGTTCATATACACATTCAACCACTTTATCTAGACAATCTAATGATTTGATTAACTGTAAAATAGTCTCTTCATATCCTAGATCATACGGCAACAGTGGGATATATGCTTCTTTATTAACTTTAACCATATTTATAAGAGAAAATAATTTATTATTATAGTAAAAATGTATGAATGAAAGTAAAATTGAAAATCTGTCACTATTATAATAGGTAAAAATAAAACTAAATACAATTTTGCTGATATCTATGAATTGTGAAGAAAACTGAACATTGGAGTATTATAAAATTATAAAATAATGAATAGTTGAAGTGGTATTAAATAATAAATAATTAATTTTGTATGTAGTTTTGAGTAATATAGATAATATTGATAATACTATCTATACTCTATAGTATTTGATAAGTATTTTTCTTTATTATCTAGTATTCTATTTACTATTTAGTATATTACCATATTACTGGTATTAATACAGAAACAGAATATACAAGCAATTTTTCATGGCATTTTGAGCTATACAGAATATTACTAATAAAAAAAAAAAACTCATTTTCCATATAGCCTACAACATGGGCGGATAGTCCATTTTTGGCCTACCGGAAAATTTTAAAAAGGGGCCCCACATGAAAAAGAATTTAATAATATATGATATTTAAGGGCCCCATTACCGAAATACGAAGGGGGGCCCGACGGGAAATGCCCGGTTGCCCGGTAGGCCTATCCTCCCATGGCCTACGACATAATATTATATTATTATATTATACAGGTGTCTATGAAGATTTACCCATTGYGATATCTCTCGGAATAATGGTGATATCGAAATTCTGGTTTTGTAATAAGACTCACAGGGATAAGAACTACAAAAATCAGGAAGTTAATGAAAATAAAATTTTGAAACGTCAATATTTTCAGAAAAATGGCAATCTTTAATTTTTAAAATTAAAAAATGAAATAATTATATTTCTTATCCCTGTGATTCTTATTATAAAACCAGAATTTTGATATCTSCATTATTTCTTGAGATATCGCAATGGGGTAAATCTTCGTGGGACGCCAGCTGCTGTATAATATGATAAARATAATAATATTAAATCWAATTTCATAAATGATTTTTGATTTAACTGATCAACATGATTTTTAAATAGAATTTTAGAATCAAAATTCATTCCTTAGTCATTAATCATATTTTTACGTGACAAGTACCTATAAGTTAGTATATATTGTTATAATATTAACTACTACATAAATATAACTTATCCTTGTCACGTAAAAATATGATTAATGACTTAGGAATAAATTTTGATTCTAAATTTATTTAACATCATACCTTTGTCATTGCACCACGTAAATAAATGATAACCAATATAACCTAATCTATATATATAAATTATTTTTCTCATTTGTCSTTATTTACTTATATATATGTTTAAATAGGAAAAATAGTTTATTAAATTATATTTTTTAGTTACAAGTTATTCCTAAACATCTAAATATACAAGCAGATACCTATACACAATGTTACAGAGTTACGAATGTAAATCTCGTAAGTCGTAACTCATCATAAATCTTTTACATTATTCACAGATTCCGACTGCGTGCATTTGATGAATGGGAAAAGAAAACACAACGTTTTTATGACATTTTGAATTTAACGAACTGTATTGGGACTCTCAATGGTAAACATGTAGTGATGAAACCTCCAATGAATTGTGGAAGCCTTTACTTTAATTACAAAGGGACACACAGAATTGTATTACTGCAGACTCTTATATTGGCTCCGGTTATACATTTTTATGTGTTGATGACGTTGATGTGAGATGTATAACTGCCGTATTTCAGATTGTGGTGTATTTTGATAGTTTCAAACTGTTCATTGTCAAAAGCTATCGGAAATAACACTTTGAATATAACTTAACCTAAACAACGATTACGTGGCCAATAAAATTCAGTGCCATTTTTGTTATCGTTATTCGTTGGTGACAATGCTTTTCTTTGAAAAAATATCTTATGAAACCGTTTCCTTTTCGAAACCAGCCCAAGCCAAATTGCATTATTATAATATTAGACTTTGTCGAGTTTTAGAGTTGTAGAGGACGAATTTGGGTTGCTTCCTGTTAAATTTCGCGCGTGTACTAAAAAGACCTATAGGGTTAGATCCAGAAAAATGTACCAAGAATTGTTGCTTACAAAATTATTTTATGTTTCGGAAAGGTTATATATTTTTAAATATATGCACCTCCTATAGAACATTAATATAGAAGAGCGAAGTGATTTGATTCCTGGTTTTTGGAGAGAAGAAAAAGCTCGACAAAACTCATTATACTCGATACATTTTACATTTATTTAAATTTTGCAAGTTAACAACTACAAAATAATTTGCAAGTTTTCGAATATTTTCAAAACTTCAATTTTAAATAATTGTGAAAAAATTGTGCATACGTATTTTTAATAATTCTCAATTATTATTATAAAAACTTATAAAGAGCCTTGTAAGAGATTTTTCAAGCATTTGGACCTATAACAATATTTGTTTATTAATATTTATAAAAAAACTAATAAAATTGAAAAATAAAAATGTTTATAAATAGCTCAAAACAAGTAAAAATATTTTTTAAATGTAATCATGTAGAGAAAATGATAAAATAAACATTTAGAAAAAGTTTAAAGTATATCATCAGATATTCTATTAGAATAACAATAAAATAAGAAAATCGTTCTATGAGCAGCGCCGGTTAGGCAAGGAATTGGCCGGCCCACCGAGTTTTAGGATTTTAACCGGCCCTAAAAAAATCTTTCTCAAAATAAGGTAAAAATGTATAATGGTTTCTGTTATTAAAATTTTAAGAGATTATATTATTATAGCTTTATAGCTTTGGTGCTAGTACCGAACTTTTTTAGAACAAATGTCTCGCGGAACTACAGATATTATCCCAGAATATAAGAACGTAGGTGAAAGTGATGTCGGGACAAAAAGTAATATCCATGCTAACGTATTTGTGATAAGCGTTAACAATTAGAATTAATTTCCCTCCTTGTGATTTGTGAATTGTGGTTACCGCAAGTCCACAACGAAAACAAACAATTATTAACGATTATCTGGAACCGGAGTATCTTGAGCACTTGAGCTTGACTTGGTAATTTAACCACAGAATATATGAGATATTCTACGATTTAAATATTTAAGTAGCAACATTAAACGATTAACGACTGTGCAAATACTCAAAATGTGCTCTCAACACTGAAGACTTAAGTTTGTGATTTTGTTAAAACTTAAAGTGATTCATAACGTGTCATTAAAAACGGTAGGTAAGTCGGTTACAATATTATAGTATATTATAGTTCTTTATTTTTTTATTTATTATTCTTTCTACTTGTTTATAAATCTAAAATGTATGGTCAAATTAGTTTTCCTTGATTCTGATTCATATCTCTAAATGTATATATTTTTCTGTTTTAGTCTTGTTGTATTCCCACTTTGTTATTATTTTGTAACATTCATCTTATTTCATTAGCTATCCGATATTCCTTAATAGGTAAGATCAATTTAAAAAAACTAATGATTGAGAAAATAATCTTGTTAGATGGATATAACTTTCTATTTTGGGATTAGTGTTCAAATGAGGTATAATATCGTTAGACTCAATTATTTTAGGCATGTTTATTCTCATAGTTAAAATTATGTTGATAAATTAGTATCTATTTTACTTATATGTATCTACCTAATATCAAGTTTTTACTAGTTGCTATTATTTTTCTTTGTTTTTTTTCTTAAAAATTATAATTACTATTAGGTGTATTCAATTGCTATTTATAACATTTAGTTTTTTTTCCATCTAATATTACTTGTATTATTTTTTTTAGAGAATATGGATATTGATAATCCATACATGGATACCATCTATAAACAAGTAGTTACTGAACATTTTCAATCAAATGAATGGAGGGAAATTTTGATTAATCCTGAAGGCGCTTCAACTACACTACGTGATGAAAGTACTCTGCCTCGATCAGGTGGACACTGTTTCAAAGATATTCCTAACCGTTTTATATTTTGGCGTGTTCTGTATGATAAACTTGAATTAGTTGAACATAGCTTAGATATGAATCTAACAGAAAACCAGGTGCGTATACATTTTCGCGATTCACCTGTATTAGAAAGTGGAATCTCTGTATATGAGACATCGGAATCTGTTGTTTTATTAGTGCCAACAGCATGTAGTTGTCACCGATTGACGTTTCCAAGACCAAATCGTCTGAATAAAGATAATGAAAATGAAAATGTATTATTGGATTCTTCGATATTTTCAAATTTTAACATACCATCTATTGATGATCCAGCAACATTTTATTCGTATAATGCAGAACTTAGTCATCCATATTCAGCTGCTTCTTGTTTAGATCAAAAACATGATGCTATATTTATAATAGCTCTACAAAACAATGTCATGCTTTATATACGTATGGAGTATATTTCTGGACTACCCACCTTAAAAGAAATTTGTCAAGAATCTGCTGTACCTCGAATGCTTTCAAATATAACCAAGGTTTTTTCTACACATATTGAGAACCCAGTTATAAACAGTTTAGCTGTACATCCGTTTCAACAAGATATATATGTTTACTCTCTCGATGATACATGTGAATTAAAAGTTTGGTCAATTGATAAATCTGTATATATTCATATAATGGATATGAAGAAAATATATGCGGCTTCTACAGAGAACGGTTCAAGACCACACATTATTCACAAATGTTTTGATGATAAACTTTTACTTACTATTTACCTTAGTTTATCAGAAAGTTCAACATTTGTGGTTCTTGAACCATGCACTGACCATGGTATGTTTAAGCTTCAGCAAAAGTTTTATGTACTCTCACCCGTGAACAGTAGACTAGTTGATATGTCATTGTATGGTAATGAAATTTGGTGCATATGGAGAACTGGAAAAGACACTGCTTGTGTCAAATCTGTAAATATCAGGAATGGCAGATGGAAAAACTGTTCTTTAGATACTACTGCTTTTGAACAACCTACTCAGTATTCTTCTAACTCAAAACAAATTTATTTAGATAGAATATTTTCATCTTCTACTTATTTTACAGACGATGATTTGAAAAATGCTATTGCTGTATATGATACTTCTGATGGGTTTGAATTTGTGACTGATTACCGTACCAAGATAAGTAATGCAATTGACACAAAAGTTGCTCAGGAAATGGATAAATATGACTCTTCAGATATTGAGTCACAAATGCAACTTATTGAACAGTGCAGTGCCAGTTTTTATAAAAGTTGTTTAGATTATCGTCGTAAAA